TCATTTTGCAAGGGCTGAGTCAGTAACTAAAGGTGGAATTGTTGCTCGTTCTGCATCTACAAGTTTGAGCAGAAGTTCGGATTTCAATAATATGGAAAGTGGATCTTATACAAGCCCAAACGAAATCATTCGCTGTACAGATGCATACCAAAGTCTATACTGTCAATTGCTATGTGGGCTTTTACAGAGAGAAAAAGTTGTTGGAATTGGTGCTCTTTTTGCCTCTACTTTAGTTTATGTTTCTAAGTTCCTTGAAAATCATTGGGTTCTTTTAGCAAATGATATACGAACGGGAACTGTAAACACCAAAATTACAGACCAATTGGTAAGGGAATCAGTCATGAATATTCTGAAACCTGATCCTCAGCTTGCAGATTTTATAGAGTCTGAATGCAGCAAAGGAACATGGGAAGGAATCGTTACAAGATTGTGGCCAAACACCAAATTCATTAATGCTATTGTGACGGGAAGCATGTCACAGTACATTCCCCAACTTAATTACTATAGTAATTGTCTGCCTCTTATTTCTCTCTTCTATGCTTCTTCGGAGTGTTACTTTGGCATAAACTTGGATCCATTGAGTAAACCTGAGGAAATCTCCTACACTTTTATTCCCACCATGGCCTATTTCGAGTTCTTGCCAGTGGACAGGGCAAATGCTAATAGAGAAGTAGGCCAAGAATTAGTTGATCTCGTTGATGTCAAGTTAGGACAAGAATATGAGGTTATTGTCACCACTTACACTGGTAACATAACTTTCCTTCTTTTCATATTTATTATACTTTGAATTGGTTGATTTTATTTTTTTGGTTTGGAGATAGAATTCTGGTTGAATTACTTATATGAAAACATATTATTATAGGTATATAAGCTGGCTAATGTAATTTATATTGCAGGCCTCTACCGTTATTGCATAGGTGATATTGTTCGCGTGACAGGATTTAAATATAAAGCTCCATGTTTTAGTTTTGTGTGTAGGAAAAATGTAGTATTAAGCTTGGATTTTGAGAAAACAGATGAAGCGGAGCTTCATAATGCAGTAAAAGGAGCTGGTGAGCTTTTGAACCCATTCGGGGCCACTATTGCCGACTACACTAGCTATGCGGATAACTCAACGTTTCCTGGACACTATGTGTTATATTGGGAAATTCACTTTAAGGAAGAAATCTCCATTATTCCATCTTCAATATACGAGGATTGCTGTCTCGCTGTTGAAGAGTCGCTTAATTCATTATACCGTCAGGCAAGATCTCACCAGAAAGTTATCAATCCATTAGAGATAAAGATGGTAGAAGCGGGAACTTTTGACAAACTCTTAGAACGAGCAACGTACCAAGGTGCTTCAATTAGCCAATACAAGACACCTCGATGCGTAACATCTACCCAGATTGTCGAGCTTTTGGATACAAAAGTTGTTGCCAGTTATTTTAGTAAAAAATACCCCAAATGGGATCCCACTTGTCGGCATCGTCTTTTTGCCCTTTGCCAGTACCCCTATTTGATGAGGTAAGTTAATTTAGATAACTCCTTGTGTATTTGAAGTTTGTGATTCATTGGCAGTACTATTTGGGTGGTCAGTTTAATTTTTGTGGAAGAGATTAATGTTCAGTTTTTCGTTTTGTTGGCTTCTTCGCATTTGGGTGGCATAACTTTTATATATTGAAAATAAGCAAGGTAGGTAAATTACGAGGTTTCAATGTCAGGGGAAATATCAACAAAAATATTGACGTCGATAATGGAATAGTTATGCCCATTTATCTTCTCCTTTTCACATCCACAATTAAAATATCAATGATCCTTTTACAAAAATCAAACTAGTAGGCCACACGTACGTCTATCACATGCTTCAATTTCCATAAAAAATGAGATATTTATTCTGGTCGAGTTATTCAAGACAAAATTGTTGCTAATTATGTCCACGAGAGTAATTAGGCCACTCACCTTAATTGTAGTTATTAATAATGTTAAGAGAGTTGTTTAGGAATTGTATTTTTTATAATCTTTTCTGTTATAACTAAATTCAGTTATGTAATCTTTGTTTGTTAGTGTTGTTATTTATATTTAGTCCTACTACCGTGCCTTTTGTATGGGAGGAAACATTAATTGATTATTCATATGGGTCTCTAATTTTTTACATCTGGAAAGAAACTATTAAATAAGAGCTATCACGACTAAAAATTCGGTCTACCGTGATGTTTTTTTGGCGTCACAAAAAACTTTCGTGACATTTTTAACGTCGTCACGTATACGCCCATCACGAAAGGTATACGAGACGTTTAAAAAACATCACAAAAATTAGCATACGTGACGGTTTATTAGCGTCATGAAAGACATGGACTTCCACAACGTTCATAAACCGTCATGAAAAATGATTTCGTGACGGTTATAGAATATCACGGAAAAACCTTAAACATGGGAGGAGAGATCACGTGACATCCTTTCGTGACGGTGTTTAAACGTCACGAAAAGTGTATTTCGTTACGGTGTTTAAACGTCATGAAAAGTTTATTCTGTGACGTTTGATAATCGTCCTAAAAAATATTTTGGTGACGGTTTAAAAACGTCACTAATGTTTTATTTTGTGACGATAAAAAGAGGGTCACTGAATATGTATTTAATTTTGATTGCAAACGTCACGTAATATTTAAATCTCATATAATTAAATTGTCAATCGAAATCGCAAATACATTAATTTAGATAACAAAATTGAAATATATATAATATTCTCGAAATATTCTCGGACTTGCTAATACATTATATTAAACATGTTCAAATTCTTACAAACACAAATCACACACCAACCCCAACAAGGAAGCTCATCCATCAATTAGTTGCATCCCTAATTGTCGACTCCTTTGGGTTCGTGAAAGACCTAATGAAAAAAACAATACCGAAGTTAGATAAATGAATAACCATAGATAGATAAGGAAAGAAAATTACTTCTAAAGAACGAGTCTATCTATTAAAAAGCGCAAAGGATCATGAAGATAACTATATATTCCACATTGTACAAGAAAAAATTCAATTAACATTCTTAAATAAACGCACTAGGAGCCTCTCACAATAGTAATCTTTGCAAATACAGATTCTAATAGAACAAAATTGATTAGACAAAAACCAACCTTGTACACTTCTTCTACATCCTTTAGTAATATATCATAAAATATCATAATTAAACAAGTATCACAATGATTGAAAACGTACATTAATCTTCTACAACACTACAAATAATCAACATTCACAGTCTTCCTTATCAACTTACTCAATAATCTGATAAAACAACCAACATAACAACCAAACAAAGATCCGAACAGAGCAAGCGCGATTAAAATAAACGACATGCCTACACTTTTTCTATATCCTTAAATTACATAGCACAAAATATCAGTACAATCATAAGGTTTGTAAACGTACAATCATCCCATAATAAAAGTATATACAGATTCCAACACAAAAACATTATTCAATAAACAATCTAAGAGCCTATCACAATAGTAATCTTTGCAAATACAAATTCCAAAACAACAAAAATGATTAAACAAAAACCAACCTACGTACACTTCTTCTACATCCTTTAGTAATATAGGATAAAATATCATAATTAAACAAACATCACAATGATTGAAAACGTACAATAATCTTCCTTATCTTCTTACTCAATAATC